AATAAGGCTCAGAAAGGCCACAATGGCCATTCGTTCAAATCAGCGATGTCTTTTTGATGTTTCTGATAATCTCTGTGCCAGGAAAGAGGCCTGTGGGTTGTCTCTCCATCATCCCCCGTGCCACGCCACTGGTTGTCCCTCTTCCCAGGCTGCCCCACTGAAGAAAACTTCATTTGTGTTCTCTTTCGCCTGTGAAGACATAAACTAAGAGCCCCTTCCTTTGGGCTGTTACAGTTTCCCCGAAAATAAGACAGTGTCTTATATTAATTTTTGCTCCCAAATATGCGCTAGGTCTTATTTTAAGGGGATGTCTTATTTTTCCATGAAGAAGAATACGGTACACATTTATTGTTTATTGTTTTATTAAAAGAGACCTTGCACTTCCTGTCTGCTCCGGCTGCACTGTGGCCAACAGTGAGCTGCGTGGTGGCGCCCACTGCGATGGTCCAGAGTACAGAGTTATGGTAGTTTCGGGGGTGGCGGGTATTTTCGGGGGATGCCTTATATTTCAGCGAGAGGCAAAACTGTAAGTAGGTCTTATTTTCAGGGGATGTCTTACTTTGGGGAAAACAGGGTAGAAACCAGGGATGGAATCATTAAGAGGACTGTGCAGTTTCTTCTTCATTTCTTTATCCTTCATCTTTCTCCACACGGTCACACTCTCCTAAGGGAAACCCATATGTTTTCTCCATCATCTGAAAAAAATGTAAACATGACTTTGGCCTCCAGAAATTAGTAATCCCGGTTCCCACCTTCCACTGTCATTCTTCCACCAGATCTTCTCCGGATTAGCTTTCTCTGTAGGGGTTGAAAAGTGTTTTTCTGCCCTATTTATTTTAGAATCTTTTGAAAGGGGGAAAAATTAGAGTTAATAAAGCTAAATGAAGTTTGTCATGTATTGACTTGCCTTTCCCCCTTCTGTTTGAATTATTGAGATTTTAGAGTGCTGTGTGCTCCTTCAGTGAGGGCCTGACCCTGAGGATTGTAAGGGGTGCCTGTTACCTGATGAATCTTCCAATCTTGACAAAAATGGTGAAACCATTTGCTGTGTAAGCAAGGCTATTGTTCATTGATAAATGGGTTGGGGTGCCCATCACAGCAAAGCAGGGCAATAAATGGCTAATGACATGCTTTGTGGATTTTCTGGTCATGGCTGACAACCACAAAAATCCTGAGAAAGTTTCTATAGTAACATGCACAGCTCCTAGGCATCAAATAAGGGGCTGTGAGGGACGCCCATTTGCCAGCGTGCACTGGACAGATCTCCTCATGGATTAACTCCTTGGATGCCTCCCTCAGTGAGGTTTGTCACCAGTGAGTGCATGCCCTGAGAATCTGTCTGGCCTGAGCCCAGGTCAAATGATATATATGTCTTAGACTAGCAGTGTTGTGTAAATTTATTTTCTGCCTCTGGAAGGGTAAGAGTAAATAATGCCCTATGAGTGAACTTGTCTGCATTTGCATTTCCCCTAGAAATTAGCCCACAGCAACTGTGTGTGTGCTCGCCTGTGTCTGAGAAAGAATGGGTGGAGGCAGAATTTAGGAGTCTGTCAGGCGACGAACAACTTACTAATGGCAGAGTGCAGGTCCGATTTCAGTTTTGCTGTCTCAATAAAGGAACAAACCTGTACTGCATAAGCCGAGTTACTGATCACATTAATACCGTATATACTCAAGTATATAGGAAGGTTGTTTTACATTTTTCAACGATAGAATGAGAGCAAACATTTCTGTCTACTGTGCAGAGGTATAACAAGTTTGAAAGGATTGAAAAGAAGGGCCCCAGTAGGCTGTGATGCAGTTACTGGAACGTCTGTAAAGGAAGCGGGGCTCCGTCAAGTGGCTTGGAGGAGGAAACTTTGTTGATGACGGATCATACCCACTCAGCTGTTGGCAGTGATGCCAGCCTTTGGCAATCAACTGAGCAATTTGCCCCTGAGCTATTAGCTCCCAATAAGGCCAGATGACTTCTCCTAAACATAGCCATTCTAGAGGCTTATCTTTTAGGGCTAATGTAGCAGCAGGGGTGGGGGTGGGGCAGGGTAATGGGTGTGTGAAAAATGATAAGGTGAATGCTTTTAGCTGGATCAATGTAATAAATCTTTTTCCTGGCTGATGTCTTCCTCCACAAGCGGTAATTCCAGGCAAGCTTCAGGGTTGAGCTCTCTAGGACAGGACTGTTTAGCAAGGGATTCCCTTTTAATGTGTCAAACAAGTGTTGGACTTCTTAGGTGGGAATTCCTAGCAAAGGTAATAACCAATTTATATCCCCTAATAACTTTTGAAAATCATTTCATGTCTTTAGATGGTCTTTTCTAACTTCTCGTTTCTGTCGTCTGATGGTAGCCCTGTTCACCACCATTCATAAGTATGTATAAGGGCTGGTTGTTGGGATCTTGTCCAGAGCAATTCCCAACGCTGCCTGAGAGATGGCTGCTCTGATGTGAATATAAGTTTGTTGTAGCATTTCATTATTAAGTGCTGCTATTAAGGTATCATCCATGTCGTGGATGATATATGCCTTGGGAAAGCATTCCCTGACTGGTTCTAAAACATCACCTATAAAAAACTGACACATTGTGGCACTATCCACCATGCCCGGAGCTAGAATTTTCATTTGAAACTTCCCAACTGGGACGCTCTTGTTTAACTCGGGGACTGTGAATTTATCACAGTCAGCAGAATCTAAATGGATAGTGTAAAAACCGTCTTTCAGGTTTATAATGATCAGAGCCCACCCCTTTGAGGTCATGCTAGTGAAGGGAGGCCCAGTTGGAAGGTCCCTTTTGGATGTAGGATCAAATGTACTGCTCTCAGGTCTATGAGTATACATCATTTACCAAATTCCTTCTTAGTAACAAATGCAGGAGAATTCCAAGGGCTAAGAGTTTCTTCAATATGACCTTCTCTTAGCACCTCTTGAACTGATTCATGCAAAGTCTGCAATTTCTCATTATTCAGGGACCACTGTTGTATTCATATTGGGTCATTTGACTTCCAAGATAGTTTAATGGGTGCAGGTGTCATGACAGCAAGCCCCCCACCCCTAAAAATGTGAATATCCTAGACCATGGTGATCATTTTGGGAAGCGACCTGGATTGGAGAAAGGTCTCCTTGCTCATTTTCCTGAGGCCATTTCCTTTATAGCCCATATTTGTCATCCTGTTCTGCGCACTGGAGTTCTGTGGAGGAATGCACAATTTAGTCCCCCATTGCTACAATAAATCCCTGCCCCATAAATTAATTGGGGTAAGTGTCACTACAGACTTAATTAAAGCGGACTGTCCTTCAGGCCCCATAAACCGTAGGACATTTCCATTTTTTGCCATACTTTCTCCTATACCTTCCATGCTAAAACTAGGAGCAGACAGCAACCATGCCTTGGGGCATTGTTGAAGACTCATAGCCGTGAGGTGGGCTCCTGAATCTAAAAGTCCTGAAAGCTTCTTTCCTTCGATTATGAATCGAACATAGGGGTTTGATTGTTGATCCACAACAGTATTCCAAAGTACTCCACGGCCCATGGTCAAGTCTGATCCCAGGCACTCTTTCCCTGAGTGCTGTTCGTTTTGTTGGTAGGGAGATAATGAAGTAGAAGTAGTCTTCCTATGCGATCTGCCTTTTATATAGCCCAGGGGATTCCAGATGAGTGGTTGAGGCCGAGAGGATAAAAGGTTAGAGAGCTTGACACATCACTTTTAGAAGTTGTGGTAGGCTACGTTTTCTAGAGAAACAAGACCAGTGACAGCTGCAGCTGATGAGTCAGGAAGGTGATGTGGGGAGCTGGGTGCAGAGTCACATGGATCCCAAGTCAGCAGAAACATGGCAGGAAGTGACAGCTCACAGGGTTGGTAGGTCCCATGGGCTGGCAGCTCAGAAGCCGGATATCGGATCCACTCAAGCAAAAAGAAGGAGAGGGGCAAGAGAGAGATCCATTCTCCATGACATCTCATAAAAGGACAACACACCAAAGGAGGGGTCAACAGGCTGTGACCTGACTGACGAGTTGGAGTCCAGCTTTATCTCTTTTTTAAATCATTTTATTAGGGGCTCGTACAACTCTTATCCATACACATATCAATTGTGTAAAGAACATTTGTACATTCATTGTCCTCATCATTCTCAAAACATTTTCTCCCCACTTAAGCCCCCGGCATTAGGTCCTCATTTTTCCCCTCCCTCCCCGCTCTCCCCTCCCTTATGAGCCCCTGATAATTTATGAATTATTATTTTGTCATATCTTGCCCTTTCTGACATCTCCCTTCACCCACTTTTCTGTTGTCCGTCCCCCAGGGAGGAGGTCACATATAGTTCCTTGTAATCAGTTCCCTCTTTCCAACCCACTCTCCCTCCTCCCTCCCGGTATCTCCACTCTCACCACTGGTCCTGAAAGGATCATCCGCCCTGGATTCCCTGTGTTTCCATTCCTATCTGTACCCCATCTATATCTTTTTATAAGTGTAGTCTAGTTGGCACAAGACCTAATCATCACAGAAACATATAGACCTCATGGAAGTTATATCAATAAATAATAGTTTCACATTTTGATATTTTTGTTTAATAAAGATTACTGTGTTTCTGGCAAGTCCCTTGATTGCCTTATATTTGTATATATGTCAGTCTTAACAAAAAGCACATGAAAATATATATTATGAAAAAAATCCATGGATTTTTAAAAATCAAAATAACCCATACTAACTTAGTATAATATATCAGAACAGGATCTAGGTTGAGCCACAAAAAGGGATAAGAAGGACATCCATTTGAAAAGAGTCCCCATTAGAGCAAGCTGACATCTGCTAACGTAGAATCAAGCACACACATCAAATGTATAGTTAAGAGATGTGACATCCAAGCCTATCTTCTCTTTCTCATACCAGTTTTGTCATTGCACAAGGAGAATCGTGATACCAACTTCTGCAGGTGGCCATCAAAAGACAGTGAAGTGATCTTCCACAACAAATGATTAATGATCTTACCCTTCTCTTGTCTTCGCTAGGGGATTCCTGGTTGCGTGTTGGGACCCAGCAGCAACATGCCTGAGCAGAGCAATGATTATCGGGTGGCTGTGTTTGGAGCAGGTGGTGTTGGCAAGAGCTCTTTGGTCTTGAGGTTTGTGAAAGGTACCTTCCGAGAGAGCTACATCCCAACGGTGGAAGACACCTATCGGCAGGTCATCAGCTGTGACAAGAGCATATGCACACTGCAGATCACTGACACCACGGGCAGCCACCAGTTCCCTGCCATGCAGCGTCTGTCTATATCCAAAGGGCACGCCTTCATCCTGGTGTACTCCATCACTAGCCGGCAGTCCCTGGAGGAGCTCAAACCCATCTACGAACAAATCTGCGAGATCAAAGGGGACGTGGAGAGCATCCCCATCATGCTGGTGGGGAACAAGTGCGATGAGAACCCGAACCGGGAGGTCGAGAGCAGTGAGGCTGAGGCCCTGGCCCGGAAGTGGAAGTGCGCCTTCATGGAAACCTCAGCCAAGCTCAATCACAACGTGAAGGAGCTCTTCCAGGAGCTGCTCAACCTGGAGAAGCGCAGGACCGTGAGTCTGCAGATTGACGGGAAGAAGAGCAAGCAGCAGAAAAGGAAAGAGAAACTCAAAGGCAAATGCGTGGTTATGTGAGCAGCCTTCCGGTGGGAGGAGCAGTCGCTGGCCCCCGTTGCCTCATCTTCCTTCATCCAGTATGAACCCCGCCCTGCCCCCGTTATCATTCAGGGTAGCATGTATGATACCCATATGTAAAACATTGCATTTTGACAGAAATGTGCCCGATTGTTCTTAAAGAGGACATGCCATCCCACCAACAATAAGCATTCTTTTTCCAGAATCATAAAATCTGCCAGTAACAATAAGCCCGTTTGCTCAGCAGCTCAGCAAATGTAGAGAGATGTTGCCTTCTGAAGGCAACAGTGTTCCCAAGAAGGTGTTAGCGCTTGTTCTCACAGCAGCAGCCTGTGCTGAGAGCATCGGTGCCATCTAATTGCATGTGAGAGCATGATCCCATTGAGCAACAGGTATGAACAGGCATTTCTCAAAGCTCAGAATTAAGACTTTGGGGGAGGGGACCAGGATAAAGATGTAAGAAGAACGTGCAAGGACCGGTCCCTTGCATGATGTTTTAACTGGATTAAAGATAGCATTATGTAACCTTCCCACAGGATGCTTATTCTTACGTCCACCTGACATGGTAAGGTCACTACCCTGGAAGGAGGATCGCAGTTACCTCCCCCGGGCACTGTTAGCAAGAATCATCTGATCTTTCAAATATTTATTTTCACATGAGTTATCTAAATGTGTGCTGCTGCTCTATCAGAAGTTACCTAATTTGGGGGTGAAAATATTGTGACATCACAGAAACATTGCAATAACTTTCCAGTGTGTTGTGCTTTGAGGGTTTTACAAATGTAAGAGTTCCTTCATTTAATAAATGAGGAATATAACTTTCAACCCTCAGATTTTAAATAAAGTAGTGATTTATAGTCTTTCTCCCTCTTCAGAATGATGTTCCCCTTTCAAACGACTCCATCTGTGTACTTCCAGGTGACTGGCAACAAATATCATCGAGGACCAAAAGCACATTCATTTCTAAGTGACTCAAACATGCATAAGCCACCCTTTGTACTTATCAAAATAGTTTGAAACAGACGTTGTTCACTGTGTTTTTTTTTAATTAGCTAAATTAGAAGTGTATTCTAGTAATAGTAAATTATCTTGCATGTTTCATTATAAATGTCTTCTAAGAGCTATTCAGTGCAGTGTTCACTCTAGAAACAATCACTTTCTCTTAGTAATTTTGTGTGTATCTTTAATTCTCCAAACTAAATTATGGCTGGGGATACTGGGGGCCGACATGGGAGAGAACTGGGGCTGTTTGGGGCAGAGCCCGTCAGCTAATTGCTTTGACATCATAGAGCCCAGTGTGGTTCTGCTTCTTGGGCAGCCTTGGCAGGACTTCTTCGTGGCCCTGTCTGTGTTGGTCAGTATACTGCATGTTGACCCACAGTGGGGTTCTACTCGTGGAATTCCTTCCAGGCAAAAGAAACGAGAGTACAACTTGCAAGATGACACCTTGGCTGATGAACAGCAGTGCCAACGCTGGGCACTTCTGAAGTTTGAGATGCTTGTCTTCAGCACATACCCTGTTAGATCCTGTCTGTGGGGCACTTGGTGTCTTTTTACTGCCTCTTACAGCAGGGACAGAAACATCTCAGTCTGCCTACACATATTTAGGCTCTTAACACTTCCTCTTTTCCTTTAACCTTTTCTTGTCAAATTTATTTACCCTGCTCTCACCCTTCTTGCTCTATTGATAACTTGTTTTTGTATTGCAATTAGTGTGTGGAAGGTGCCTTTGAGAATAATTTGGCTCTGTGGACTTAGCATTTTCCTGGTCCGCTGACCTATGAGAACAAAACTTCACTGGCTTCTCCCACGGCAGGGAAAGTCCATGCAGAAGAGGCAAAGAAGTGTCCCAGAGCCTGTGGTGGGGGAGACGGGGTAGGGCTTTCTGGGGGGATGGGGTTGAGGCCCTCTTTAAATCCAAATGGGTGCATCCTCCAATAATCGTGTTCCGTTCCAAAGAGGTGACTCCAACCTTCATGGTGAGATGTTTGCAGATTTTCAGTAGCCTTTGTTTTCAACCCACCCGTACATTTTCCCCTTGTATCCTCAGCCGGATGTCCCACATTTGTAATTTGGAGATGAGGTAAAGGACAGAAGAAGCAGAATTTCCTGGATGCAGTGGAGTTTACAGAGTTTGGTTTGGTTCTTTGCCAATAGTAAACTGTGATCTCTACCACTGAACCTAAGGATAGTTAATTTTCTGATGTAATTGTCCTCGCAAACAGGCCTCTTTCTATTAGTTGCAAACTAGAATTGCTTTTAGCTCTTTCAAGCCAGTATCTACATCTGTGTTTCACGCTTCATCTGAACCCCTGGGTGGTACAAACGGCCAAGAGTGTGGAGTGGCATTCTACTCGGAGGCATACGAGGTCACCATGAGTTGGCGGCAACTCAACCGCAACTGTACTGAGAGATGCATCAGTAGAAGAAGCTTGCAATGATTGAAAATAAAAATTTTCTTCTTCATACTTTTTCCATGAATTTTTTAGGAAACCTATTGAAACCCCAATTCCTGACCTTCGTATGAGATCATTTTCCATGACCTGAACGGAAAATCCTGATGGTTATTTCAAAAGAAGTTTTAGAAGTACCCCAATGGACTTGTGGCTTGAGGAATGGGTATTGCTCAATCAGGAGTTTTCAACGTTTGTTTGGCTCATCTCCAGATGCAGTTTTGGTAATCTTGAGGGTACGTCCTACATGGTGTCTCGGCGCAGACCTTTAGCCATACATAGTAAGTTATAGAATTCAGCATATTTCTTTGAAGACGACAATGTGGGAATAAACATGGCCAGAGTGCCCTTCTGTCCCTCTTGATCCCTCCTTTATCACATGACAAGCCATGAGTGTGCCCTGGGCATGCATGCAATACAGCAAGACCAACCCAAGAGCAATACTGAATTGTTCATTATGAGCTAACATTATATATGTATGTTATATATATATATATGATTTATCTTCTTGCATTTTTGAAGTATTAAGTAGTACATTGTATATATCTGTATGCAGATATATTTGTTTCACTGTTTGTAATATTTAAGAAATGTGCATTATTTGTAAAACAAAATGTATTCTGTATTAAAAATTCCTCTGTGATACTTAATATTTTTTAAAAATTTGAATGTGTTGTTCTTATATAAGCTCCTTGAAAATATCTAGAACAAAGGGAACATAGGTAAACCTTTTAAAATATGTCCTGGAGTTTGGTACATCACAAAGATAGTCTGTGGGCAAAGTATTTACAGAGCATGATTTTTATACTTGTGGGATATTAATGTGTATATTTATATTTAAAATGTATTTATTGTTACAATTTCTTTATTGATTCTATTTTATTTACTTTGAAGTTATAAAAATAACCCTTGCATACCTTTCTAGTTGGAAGTCATGTTCTGAATATGATGAATGATATTAAAATAAACCTTCCATTATGACAAACTGACTGGAATATGGTGTTATTTCTTACTCTTTTTATATTTAGGTAGTCTATGAACAATGGCGGTTCAGTGGTAGAATGACTTACTTCCACCTGGGAGAGGCAGGTTGGGTTTCCAGCGAACATACCTGCGTTTAGCCCCTCCCTGTACACAGTATGGATTTTTATGTTGATAAGATACTGCTTCTGTTTCAGTGGAGCTTTTGGTCTAGGCCAGACTAAGAAGAAAGATCTGGTGACCTAACCCCCTAAACTTGCCCATGTAAATTCTATGGTTAGCCGTGGTCTTACCTGTGACCAATCATGAGGATGACGCAGAACTGGACCGAATTTCATTCCACTGTGCATGGGTCACCATGCAGTTTATTGATTCAGTTAGCTCACAACAATATGGGAGATTTTAGCCTCGTCTCTGTCAGTGTCTCTTCATGTGGACGGGATAGCAGGTCTTGTTTGGGGCTAACAGCTCATAAAGGGTTGTTCCTATGAAACGTTCCCTCTTGGGACTTGGTCGCTGAGCTGAAATGAAATGGAGGCTCCAGCAAAGTAAAGTGGCGGGGGAAGTAGAGCCCTGCTGGAGTGAGGACAGCTCTTCTCTCCTCGCTCCTGAACCTGGTCTTTGCTCTACCATCGCACTTGGTTTTCTCAGAAAGGCCCGTTGGGCCTGCAGCACAAACTAATTATATGTGATTAAGGTAGAAAGTCCTGAGAGGAGTTTCTGGGCCTAGTTTATAAAATAAGCCTTGCTTTTGATAATACAGGAAAAATGAATAGAAAACTCATTAAAATAATCCAAATTCTCACTCTGCCATTAACAAGCTATGTGACTGTGTGCAGGTTCTGGACCTCTCTGAACTTTTGCACAATGGGATTATTATGTTTCAGTGCTGGGTGGTCCTAGGGATTAAATTCATGATCAGAATAAAGTACTTAACGTAGCCTTGTCACGTATTGACCTTTCACCAAAATAAAACATGGACCGATGATTATGTAGGATTTTATCTGCAAAGTTTTGTGGAGAAAATCAGTTTATGCAAATGTAAACAATAAACCAGAAATGTTTTTATTTCCTTAAGCCTTGGTTTACCAGCTTCCCCAGTCTTGCTTTCTAAAGGCCACAGCACTCTCTCCTCCTCTCTTCCCCACACTACCATTATTGCTACATTATTCAGGGACTTCTCCCTTTATGGGTACAGTCACAGGCAGCGGGCCCCATTAGGTACCACTAAAGAGCATCCTGTCATCTGGTACTTATCAAATTTTAATGTGCAAATTAAGCACTTGAGAATCCGATGACTCACTAGATTCTGATTTAGCAGATCTAGATAGGCCCCCAAGTAATACTGATGGACCAAATTTTGAGTCACAAGACTATAATCTACTTGTTCTACACATTGGCATCATCCACAGGAGCGATAAGAAAAATGTATGCCTAGGTCAGATCCTAGAAATTATGTTGAAGTAAGTCTAGAATGTATCTTTGACTTTAGGATAATGAAGGATTCCATAGGTAAAGCCAAATTTGAGAATGGATGTTATGTATTCTCCCCATAAGGTAAAACCAAATTTGAGAATGGATGTTATTTATTCTCTCACCCTCACTGCCATCGACTCAGTGCTGAGTCATAGCAATGCCCTGCGGTCTTCTGGACCTGTAACTGTTGGATGCTACTGGCTACATTGAACTATGACCTCCTGCCAGCTCCCTCAATATCTCTGGGTTGTTCAATCAGGTTCCTCTTTAATGAATGCTTTCTAGACAGAAGACTAGTAATATTAAATTAAGAATCTTGGCTTCTTCTATGTATAGAATGACCCAGAATGCATACAGGGAGACACTGGAAAGACAGGTGCAAAATTCCTGCCCATCTAGAAGCACCCGGATATGTTCCAGCAACACTGGTAGTGGGTTTGAGCCCTACCACATGTTTGGAGCGTTAAATCCATGCCCTGGCTCAATGCCAGAATGACTTAAAACTTCACATTTGGCAATTACCCATATTCCTTCTGGCTTAGAAACCATGCCCTCTGTGGACTATTGTTGCTCCAAATATCATGAATGTGTCCATCAACGCACGCTCAGATTTCTTACAGTCATGCTCAGGGGCAACTGTCCTGCCTTTATTATATCATTCCTTTGACTCAGTTGCTGTGGCAATTGTTGTGTTTGATATTAAATTGCACCTGTTTTATATTAAAAATGACTATTCGTGCCTTAGCATTTTCATGCTTCCAGGATGTTCTCTTTCACATTTTCATTTCTATTTTTGTTTTTAGCTAAAAGAGGTCTTTGCCTATCCTAGTATCACATATGTTTCATGGGACCAAAGGGAGGCATAGCTCTCAGATATTTTAATTAAATTTACTGTTATAATGATAATAGTAATGACCATTGCATATGACTGTTGCTATTATCTTACTCGTATAATTCCTCGCCTTTTCTTACGCAATATGTAAGGGATTGTTTAGGGCAGAAATAAAAATGAACCACAAAATCCCCACTGAACCTTCGGTAAGCAAGGAGATCTAGGGAACAGAGACAGGTCGGAAAGGAGATTGAGTCATTCATAAGAGATTTAAGATAAAAGTTCTGAGGCTCCTTTATTAGGGAAAATCACCACCGCCACAACAAACCAAAACCAACCTACTGCCATTGAGTGATTGTGACGCACAGTAGCCCTTAGAACAGACTAGAATTGCTCCTTCGGTTATTGAAGCTATAAATCTACACATGAGCAAAAAGATTAATTCTTCTCCATGGAGTGGCTGGCAGTTTCAGATCGACTTTTCACAGTTCACAGCCCGATATGTAAGCCACTACTCCACCAGAGATGACGAGAAGAATATAAAGTTGATGTGAAATGTCTTTTCTCCCTTTTGCCAGAAGGCAAGATTATATTGTTTGCAGTTTGTCTAATAAAAAACACCCAGAGTTTTCAATAAGTATGTTTTGAGTAGTCATTATCACTCAGTATACATATACATGCACAGGTACATTCAATAATAATAGTAAAACAACCGCATACATTAAATATTACAAAAAATATTCCTATTGCCCAACCTTAGATATATTTAGGGAAATTGGAGTGGGTCTGAAAAGTGGACTTTACTTGAAATATGATTATTACTGTAAAACTTGCAACATACAATCATAAAGTGGCAATATCAAATGTTCTAGTTTAGTTCCACTATCCCCTATGATCAGAAACCTCTTATTTCTATCTCCCTGTCCCATCTTGCATATTAAAATATTTTTCTATAGTAAGCCTGTTATGAAATGGTTTGCTTTATGATTGTGCAAAGGCAGTGGATTATGTGGATCATAGCAAACTATGGATATGTTACATAGCAGAACAGGGACTAGGTGTCCACCGGGCATGCACCAATTCAGGCCCAAGCCAGGGAAGGGAGGTTGATGGTACACCTAGGTGGATGGTACACCTGGATTGGCCCAATCTAGACCAGCTGCGCTTAATTCAGCCAATGGGATCAGCCAGTACTGTCGACCACGCCTCCCAGCCCAAAGACCCAAAAGGCTGGGAATGGGGAGACCACCCTTTTCTTTCCTGCTTCTCGTCTGCCTTCCACTTGGCAGTGTTGTGCTCTCTCTCCTGGCCTCAGGTCGCCACATGTGTTAGGGTGCAGTCCTGTTTTCGGTTAACTGTAAAACCTGAAACTTATTCTATTTTTATAAAAACTCACTTGGATCACAAACCAGGATTTGGCGTGAATTTCTTTCTCATTGGAAGCCAAGAATCAGGGTATTTCCCACTCAAGGACTCTAACAGATAGCCTTGAGAAGATTAAGATTTTCAAACCACTTTAACTGTTCTGCGGAAATTGCACGTGGATTAAGAGGCAGTTGTGTGAACAGAACAAAGGATTACTAGATTATTTAACATCAAGAAAGGTGTGTGTCAGGGTTGTATCCTTTCGCCACACTTATTCAATCTGTATGCTGAGCAAATAATTAGAGAAGCTAGATTATAAGAAGAGTACGGCATTAGGATTGGAGTAACACTTATTAAAAGCCTTCAGTATGCAAGTGGCACAATTGCTTGCTGAAAGGGAGGAGGATTTGAAGCACTTGCTGATGAAGAGCAAGCATGGGCAGCCTTTAGGGTGGATTACAACTCAATGTAAAGAGAACCAAAATCTTCACAACTGGATCAATAGGGAACATCATGATAAATGGAGAAAAGGTTGAAGTTGTCAGGGATTTAGACTTGCTTGGATTCACAATCGATGCTCATGGAAGCAGCAGTCAAGAGACCAAATGACACTGCACTGAGGAAATCTGGTCTAGAATATCTTTTTAAATTGTTGAAAAGCAAAGATGGTGCTTTGAGGACTAAGGTGTGCCTGACACAAGCTACTGTATTTTCAATTGCCTCATATACAGGTAAAGGTGGGTCATTGAATAAGGAAGACCAAAGAAGAATCAATGCATTTGTGTTATGGTGCTGGTCTTCACTTCACTACTGAATGTCAAAAGAACAACCAAATCTGTCTTGGAAGAAGTATAATCAGCATGCTCCTTAGAAGTAAGTATGGTAAGACTTCATCTCATGTACTTTGGACATGTCCTCAGGAGAGACCAGTCCCTGTAAAAGGACCACATGCTTGGTAAAGTTGAGGGGCCATGAACAAGAGGGAGGCCCTCGACAAGGTGGATTGACATAATGGTTGTACCGATGGGTTCAAACATAACAACAATTGTGAGGAGGTTACAGGCCCAGGCAGTGTTTTGTTCTGTTATACCTAGGGCAGCTCTGAGGGCACCTATCATCAATAACCTGAAGCTTTACCAGTTATACAAATGAAAATAATTCTCCCTTTTCAGAATCCCCCCTCAATTCTTGTTTGCCTAACCCTTATAGTTCTTATGACAGGTTTCTTTGCATTAAAATGACATTTTAAGAAATACTGATGTCATACTATTCAGTGCTTTAGACCAGTGCATGTTTGACAAACATTTATTCGAATGAGCAGCAAAACCCAT